TTTTTTGTGAGACAGTCTCCCTCTGTCACCCAGGCTGGAGTTCAATGGCAAGATCACTGCAGCCTTGAACTATTTTGCTCAAGCAATCCTCCAGCCTCAGCCTCCCAAGCAGCTAAGACCAGGCCATGCACCACCACGGCTGGCTGAGTTTTATATTTTGTATAGAGATTGGGTCTCTTTTATTTGCCCAGGCTGGTCTTGAACTCCTGACTACAAGCGATCCACCTACCTTACCCTCCCAAAACTCTGAGATTATGGGAGTGAGCCATCTTAGCTGGCCAGATTTTTATTTCTTTCTAAAACCCACAGTATTTATGAGAGAATTATTTGAAGTGAAAAATCTGCTCCAGGATTTCAGTAAGTCAGAGAGATTTCTGTTTGTTGTTTTTCTCTTTGAGCCATTTTGCCTCTCTAGCTGACATACCAAATATATACACTGTCCCTCTAATTTGAGACTGTGGTTTTGTATCTTACCAAAATAATTATGGAGTAGTTTTGAACCTCCTTTGTAAAAGCATGTTTGTTTAGCTTCTTATTTTTACAGACTTGCAAAAGTTCTTGTCTAAATTATGACTTATAAGTGCTTTAGTTTTAGTCTCTCTCTTTTTTTTTTTTTTGAGATGGAATTTTGCTATTTTTGCCCAGGCTGGAGTGCAATGGCTTACTGCAACCTCCACTTCCCAAGTTCAAGCGATTCTCCTGCCTCAGCCTCCTGAGTAACTTGGATTACAGGCATGTGCCACCATGCCCAGCAAATTTTTTTTTGTATTTTTAGTAGAGACAGGGTTTCTCCATGTTGGTCAGGCTGGCCTTGAACTCTCAACCTCAGGTGATCCGCCTGCCTCGGCCTCCCAAAGTGCTGGGATTACAGGAGTGAGCCACGGCTCCCGGTCAGTTTTACTCTCAAAAGCAAGTTAAATTACCTTATTTGATTTGTTGCAAATATTACTAATATGTATAAGCCATTATGTATAATATATACAAATTAAAACTTTTTAAGTGAATTTCACACTAGGTATTAATACTACTTAAGTGCACATGTGTAACCTAAGTACTTTAAATTTGCATTTTTTAAAACTTTAATTCTTGTTCTTTTGACAGTGACTGTGTTTTTAAGTTCACTGACACCCAAATTCTATGTGGCACTTACAGGGACATCTTCATTGATATCAGGATTAATATTTGTAAGTACTTTCTATTTCCTTCCTTCATGTTTTGGTATTTATCTAAAGATCCTTTATATGGTTATAATAATTATAAATTGTAATTACCTATTGATCAGCATTTCCAAAACGTATTCAGCATTTGAAAAGAGTTACCTATTCAAACAAGTCTGGGGAACACTGCATCTCCCAATCCACATTTAGAGATTGACAGTATTTATTTACATATTAAAGGTTTATTGTAAACTCTAGTCAGGGAGGGCTTGGGGTGTGTTGGAAATAAATGCCTGCAGAGCCCAAGTTGGTAACAAAAATGAGTGAGATTGAAAGACTTTAAGAATTAAATTCTTGTTTCCTTAAGGACTGGGTAACCTGAACAGTGCATGCCCCTTCTAAAAAAGGCTAAAGCTAATTGTTGCCATATAAACTTGTGTCTAGTATTACCAGTTCTTCCAATTTTTCAGGTGATTTAAAAAGAACCCAGATAGGCTGGGCACTGTGGCTCATGCCTATAATCCCAGCACTTTGGGAGCCCGAAGTAGGCCAGGAGTTTAAGAACAGCCTGGCCAACATGGTGAAACCCTGTCTACTAAAATACAAAAATTGATTGGGTTTGGTGGCAGGTGCGTGTAGTCTCAGCTACTCAGGAGACTGAGGCACAGGAATTGCTTGAACTCAGGAGGCAGAGGTTACAGTGAGCCACGATCATGCCACTGCACTTCAGACTGGGCGTCAGAGAGAAACCATTTCTCAAAAATGAATAAATGAATAAATCAATAAATAGAACCTGGATATACAGTTTTTATATAAAATTTGCTCATCGAAAAAAATTAAGATGGAGTCTCACTATGTTGCCGAGGCTGGAGTGCAGTAGCTATTCACAGGCACCATTATAGCACATGTAGCCTTAACTCCTGGGCTCAAGCCATCCTCTCATCTCAGCCTCCCCAGTAGCTGGGATTACAGGTGTGTGCCACCATGTCTGACCACAGTATTTTAATATTGGCAACATTGGGCAGACTAAAATTTGTGTGTTATGCATTCAACCGATAGTTTTTCCAAGGCCCAGTTTCCTCATCTGTTAACTGAGGTTAATAACAGCATGAACTTTATTACAGGATTATGAAGACTAATCAGATGTTATGAAAGTTTATAACATGGTAGCTGCTTCAGAGTGTGCACTCAATGAATTTTGGCTACTATTATTCTGAGAATTCTCACAATTAAGAAACTTGTTTGGCCTGACAGACTGGTTCATCCCTATAATCCTAGAACTTTTGGTGACCAAGGTGGACTGATGACTCAAGCCCAGGAGTTTGAGACCAGCCTGGGGAACGTGGAAAAACCCTGTCTCTACAAAAAAATACAAAAATTTGCTGGTGCATGGCATGCACCTATAGTCCCAGCTACTGGAGAGGCTGAGGTGGGAGGATCACTTGAACCCTGAAGGGAGAGGTTGCAGTGAGCCAAGATGGCACCATTGCACTACAGAGCAAGACTATCTCAAAACAACAACCACCACCAAAAAAAACCAAAACTGTTTAACTTTTATTCAACTTTTCCTTTAAGAAGATATTTTTAATTAAAAAAAAAAATTAAAGACTGGGCATGGTAGCTCATGCCTGTAATCCCAGCACTTTGGTAGGTTGAGGCAGGCAGATCACTTGAGGTTGAGAGTTCAAAACCAGCCTGACCAAGATGGAGAAACCTCGTCTCTAGTAAAAATACAAAAAAAATTAACTGGGTATGGTGGCGCATGCCTGTAATCCCAGCTACTCAGGAGGCTGAGGCAAGAGAATCCCTTGAGCTGGGAAGGCGGAGGTTGCAATGAGCCAAGATTGTCCCACTGCACTCCAGCTTAGACAACAAGAGCAAAACTCTGTCTCAAAAAAAATAAATAAATAAAACATTTTTTTATAATCCGTATTAATATCCCTAGGATGTAGTGTTTCCTAATGTACGCTTTGGAACAATACTGCTGCAAATAAAAATCTTAAGAAGTTTTATTGCATGCATAGCCAATGGGTTTTTCTCTTCTTTTTACATTTTTATTTATTTTTTGTAAAGACAAAGTCACTATGTTGTTCAAACACCTAGGCACAAGCAATCCACCCTCCTCGGCCTCCCAAAGTGCTAAGGTTACAGGCTTGTACCAACACACTCAGCCTGTTCCTTTTTTTTTAATCTCTAGGTGGTGCTCTCCAGCTATAATAGAAATAGCAGTTGTATTGGATCTATTTTTTTTTAGTAGGGACTAATACAGACCATTTTGTTAAAGTGAAATGCCAAACAAGAACGAGATTTTTCTCTTGGCTTAAAAAATAGAAGCTATTGAGGAATTCAGGATTAAAACTACATGTTAATATAAGCGTCATAATTTAACATGAGCATATTTTAGCATATTTAGTCAATAACATAGAAAAGTCAATTAGTAAAGACAGTAAACTATCTTTTGGCTAGCCACCATGGCTCATGCCTATAATCTCAACACTTTGGGAGGTTGGGGTGGGAGAATCCCTTAACGACAGAAGTTTGAGATGAGCTTGGGCAACAGTGAGACCCTGTTTCTATGTAATATAGTTTATTTTTATTATTTTTATTTTTTAAGAAACTATCATTAAACAGCTGATGTAGTGGAAAAGGCACTCATTTGGGAACCAAAAGATAACGTTTTAATCTTGACTTTGCCACTTACTAGCTGATAACTTAGGGCAAGCTACATAAACTATCTAAACCATAATTTCCTCATTTATAAGAGGAGGATAGCTTACTTATATAAATGATGTCTAAAACCTTTTAAAAAACGTTTTGTGGCCAGGTGTGGTGTCTCGTGCCTGTAATATCAACACTTTGGGAGGCTGAGGCAAGATGATTGCATGTGGCCAGGAATTCAAGACCAGCCTGGACAAATGAGCAAGATCTTGTCTCTGTACAAAATTTAAAAATTAGCACATTGTGTCGGTGCACTCCTGTAGTCCCAGCTACTTCAGAGACTGAGGTGGCAGGATTGCTTGAGCCCAGAAGATCAAGGCTGCAATGAGCTATGATCATGCCACTGCACTCTAACCTGGGCAACAGAGTGGACCCGGTCTCAAACAGAACAACAACAACAACAAAAACTCAACAAAACATTTTGTTGCACCTTATAAAGCAGCATTTTAAATATACAAAAGTTAGGAAATTCAAGTAACATTTTAAAGGTTAAACTGTATCATTACTTTTGCAATATTGATGGGTTTTTATTAGCAAAGGTTGTGTTTATAATTTCTTTTACCACCTGAATTTAACAAACTTGTATAGACATACAATCACATATACATATATAGTGAGATATATTTGCGAATCAGTTTAGTGTAACAGTTGGAAGCTCTGAAGTCAGGCAAACCTCAATAAGAATCCTAGCTCTGCCACTTACCAGTGATGTGACGTAAAGCTAGGTATTTAAATTTGGAATGTGTGTCATCATCTCTAAAATCAGTTTTTGTGAAAATTAAATGACATAATACATGTCAAGGACTTGGCATAATGCATGACTCATAGAATGCTTTTGGTAAGTATTTGCAGTTATTGTTATCATTGTTCGTTTGTGTTAAAAAGTTGACTTAAAAGTTGAAAAAGCCACTAATTTCATACGCGTTTGTTAGAAAACCCACTGCACTTTGTATAGTGAAGGGAATTGTGTGTTATTGTTACCCTTGACAGTATTTATCTTTCTTTCTTTCTTTTTTTTTTTTTTTTTTTTTTTTTTTTTTTTTTTTTTTTTTTTTGAGATAGGGTTTTATTCTGTCACCCAGGTTAGAGTACAGTGGTACAGTCACAGCTCCCTGAAGCCTCAACCTGCTGACCTCAAGTGATCTTCCCACCTTAGCCCTAGCTGGGACTATAGACACACATCCTCACATTTGGTTCATTTTTTTATGTTTTGTAGAGATGGGGTCTCACTATGTTGTCCAGGATAGTCTCAAACTACTGGCCTCATGTGATCCTCCCACCACGGCCTCTCAAAGTGTTGGGATTATAGGCGTGAGCCACCATGCCTGGCCCTATCCAGTTTTCTTAACCAAGATTTCAATATGAACCTTGTCTTTTCTGTCACATGAACAATTTCTGCTTGTGTAAATAAGTTTTATCTCAGCTGTTAGTAAAACATATGGTAGAAGTCAAATCATGGCCTCATTTGGTGATAATTACTTCTTGCTAACTTAGTAAGCATGAGCAGAAAGAAGCCATTTTATATTAAGCATAAAACATTGGTGACATGATAGAAAAAAATGCTACACCTTGATTTTCTCACACTTTTCTATAAACGTTGTGGCATTTAGTCAGTGGGCCACAATATGACTATACTTTTGGTACCTATGTAGCATAATTGTTCTTTATTTACTGAAGCAAAAAATGTTCCTACAGATTTGAAAACTCTGATTTTTTGTGATGTGTTCTGTTTGTGATCATAGTAAAATAGTTTTCAAAAATATCAAAACCTGGCTGGTTATGGTAGCTCACACCTATAATCCTACCACTTTGTGAGGCTAAGGAGGGCAGAGCCCTTGAGCCCAGGAGTTTGAGACCAGCCTGGGTGACATGGTGAACCCTTGTCTTGACAAAAAATATAAAAATTAGCTGGGAGTATGTTTGTAGTTCTAGCTGCTAGGGAGGCTGAGGTGGGACGATCACCTGAGCCCAGGGAGGTCAAGACTGCAGTGAGCTGTGATCATGCCACTGCATTCCAGCCTGGCAACAGAGTGAGATCCTACCTCAAAAATATGTAAATAAGAAACAAAAAGATTAAAATCTCTTAGTTGTGGATATGCTTTGTTTATTCTTTACATACACTAATACATTTATCTACTACATTTGGCAGAAGACTAGTCTGTCAGTTGACCTTTTTTTTTTTTTTTTTTTTTTTTGAGATGGAGATTAGCTCTTGTTGCCCAGGCTGGAGTGCAATGGCATGATCTCAGCTCACCGCAACCTCCGTCTCCCAGGTTCAAGCAATTCTCCTGTCTCAGTCTCCTGAGTAGCTGGGATTACAGGCATGCGCCACCACACCTGGCTAATTTTTATGGTTTTAGTAGAGATGGGGTTTCACCATGTTGGTCAGGCTGGTCTTGAACTTCTGACCTCGTGATCTGCCTGCCTTGGCATCCCCTGAGTAGCTGGGATTACAGGCGTGAGCCACCGTGCCAGGCCTGACGTTTTTCATTTTTTTCTTTTTTTAAGACAGAGTCTCACTCTATTGCCCAGGCTGGAGTACAGTGGTATAATCACAGCTCACTGCAGCCTGGACCTCCTGGGCTCCACAGGTCCTCCCACTTCAACCTCCTGAGTAGCTGGAACTACAGTCTTGTACCACCTCACCCAGCTAATATTTTATTTTTATATTTTTTTATAGAGACCAGTTCTCACTATGTTGTCTAGTCTGGTCTAGAATTCTTGGGCTCAAGCGATCCTTCTTGAGGATTTCTCTTTGGGGACTTGTCAGCCTCCCAAAGTGCTGGAATTACAGATGTGAACAACCATGCCTGGCCTGGTTTCTCTTTTTATAACAGTGATAAACTATGGAAACAAAAAGAAGTGAATGGTTCAATATGGGAATCAACCTGACTCTTAACCTATGTTAGTAATTTTACCAAATACTGGAGCAGTACTTTTTGCCTTAGAAAGGACTTTCTTATACTTCTTGTTAACCACATTTAGCTGAGGCTCTGCTTTGAGATGTTGAGGTTAAGTGACTCGCCCACAGCACACAGCTAATAAATGGCTGATTTGGGAGTCAAACATGGGCATGCTGATCCTAGTCTAGTCTGTTAATCTACTATGCTTATTATCTGAAAACTGTTTATGCTGCAGATAGAGTAAAATGACAATGTAACTTAACAGGGTTAAATTACTTATAGATTAAATGCTTCTTACTGCTTTTTAATGCTTTATTACATATGCCTAGTTTTGCTTAAGCTTGTCTAAATTTTATGACAAAACTATAAAAAAGATAATTTTACATGGTATGTGTTATTGGTGAATCTTGTGTTTGTGTGTTTTTTTTTTCTTTTTGGAAAGAGAGTGCATTTAACATGCTGAATTGAACTTGACATCTTAAGAGAATCTTTTAATTTGAGCTCATATATCTGCTGATCAATTCTAAGTGGAGGATATTTTCTGTTTGTCATAGATATTTGAATGGTGGTACTTCCATAAGCATGGCACATCTTTTATTGAGCAAGTATCTGTAAGCCATTTGCGACCACTGATGGGAGGAACAGAGCACAGCATTTCAGAACCAGGTTCTCCTTCCAGAAACAGAGAAAGTGAAACCAGCAGACAGAATTTGTCAGGTGACTGCTTTCCTAATGTGTTTTCAGAGCTGTGTATTTAAGATTGAGTTTGGCTCTGGGAGATAGAAAACTCAAAACAGCAGAGTGCTGTAGTGTGCATGTTTGTGTTTTCCCCCAAATTCTAATCACCAATGTGATGTTATGAGGTAGGATCTTTGGGAGGTGATTGGGTCATGAGGGCAGTACCCTCTTGGATGTTATTCATGCCCTTTTGAAGAGATCCCAGAGAGCTGCTTGCCACTTCTACCATGTGAGGACACCACGAGAAGGTGCCATCTATGAACCAGAAAGCAGATCCTCACTAGACACCAAATCTGTTGGTACCTTGGTCATAATAGACTTCCTAGCCTCCAGAACTGTGAAAAATAAATTTATGCTGTTTATAATCTACCTAGTTTATGATATTTTGTTATAGCAGTCCACATGGACTAAGACACAGAGAGAAATTTGTCTTTCATGTTAATATAGGTAGTCCATGGCTAGTATGGAAAACAATAATCATCAGATACCCGGACCCCTTCTATTTCGTTAGCCTGCCATCCAAAAATGTAGTTTTCACCTTGTAGTATAAGGCAGTTGCTCTTGCTTCAGCCACCATATCCACATTCCAATCAGTAGGAAGGAAAGAAGTCCAAGGTAAGGTCACTCCTTCCCTCTACTCCACCCCACAGAAGCCAAGGACTATTCTCAGAGATGTTACATACTATTTCACCTTACTTCCTACTGGTCAGATCTGTTTCATGTGGCCACTACTCTCTATAAGGAGGGCTAGACATTGTCATCATTTTCTCAGTGTATATATGCCCAGCAAATCAGGGAATCTTATAACCAATAACGGAGAGAAGAAAAATAATCAGCCGTCTCTGCCAAGAGAGGAAAGTAGGAAAAAAATTATTTTTTCAGTATGCTTAAAAAGACATAAAAGTCTCAGCTCTTCATAGATGAATATTCCATTGTCATAACTGTTCCTCTATTTGTATCAAGTAAGAGAAAGCAAGTTTTTTTTTTTTTTAGATGAAGTCTCACTCCGTAGCCCAGGCTAGAGTGCAGTGGCACAATCTTGGCTCACTGCAACCTCTGCCTCCTGGGTTCAAGTGATTCTCCTGCCTCAGACTCCCTAGTAGCTGGAATTACAGGCGCATGCAAGTGCACCCAGCTAATTTTTTGTATTTTTTTTAGTAGAGACAGGGTTTCACTATGTTGGCCAGGCTACTTTGGAACTCCCAACCTCAGGTAATCTGCCTGCCTCGGCCTCCCAAAGTGCTAGGATTACAGGTGTGAGCCACCATGCCCAGCCAGCTAGAAAGCAAATATTTTTAATGATGTATAACTAGGAAAGCAAAATTTTCAAAGCCAAATAATTTTTTTTTTTTTTTTTTTAAATAGAGATGAGGTCTCACTATGTTGCCCAGGCTAGTCTTGAACTCCTGGGCTCAAGTGATCCTCCCACCTCAGCTTCCCAAAGTGTTGGGGTTATAAGTGTGAGCCACTGTGCCTCGCCAAAATGAATACTTTTGGATTTTTGTTCCTTTCATTTGCTATAGGTAATAATCATGTGGTAATAATACAAATGAATTAATTCCGTAATATTCCCAATGTTTCATTTGTTCAATAGCTTAACCACTAGAGTTATGACAGTTCAGTAGAAAAATACTACTTAAGCCAGGCAGGGTGTCTCATGCCTGTAATCCCAGCACTTTGGGAGGCTGAAGCGGGTGGATCACAAGGTCAGGAGATCGAGACTATCCTGGCCAACATGGTGAAAACCTGTCTCTACAATAAAAATACAAAAAAATTAGCTGGGCGCGGTGGCACACGCCTGTAGTCCCAGCTACTCGGGAGGCTGAGGCAGGAGAATTGCTTGAACTCAGGTGGTGGAGATTGCAGTGAACCGAGATAGTGCCACTGCACTACAGCCTGGGTGACAGTGCGAGACTCCGTCTCAGAAAAAAACAAAAAAATAGAAATATACTACTTGAGTGCAATTGGTGGTGCTTTTTAGATGTGGTCATACAAAGTCCCTGAGGAAGCACCATTTAATTGGAGTTCTGAAGCATGACTAGGAATAGTTGGGTGGGGTTGGCAGCCATTCATGAGTATAAGAAGGAATAATAGTCAATTTCCCCTCCACTTCTCATTTCTCCTCTTTCATAAAATAATTACAGCACCCCTAAGAACAAGACATATTAAATTGAATATGATATAGATCTGTCCTCATGAAGCTCAGACTTCAATATGTAAGTAATTATAACAATAGCACATGACGTGATTTTCTTTTCTATTGTAAGACTGACTATGCCATTAATGATAATGTTCTTAGTACCCTTAAGAACATTCCATTTTGGTAGAGGATACAGATATAAATAAGTTGACAGCAAAAGAGTATAGTAAGCTGCTTTTATAGAGTATCTTATATGTGATACTCTATAAAGATATATGATACCTTATACAAGATACTATGGTGACAGAAAAGAAAGAGTGGTCAGTTTTTGGAGGGAGGGCTGCAAAATATTTCACAGAGGAAATACTTTGAATTGGACCTCAAAGTGAGTTAAAAGCTGGGCACAGTGGCCCAAACCTATAATCCCAGTACTTTGGGAGGCTGAGGTAAGGGGATCACTTGAGACCAGGAGTTTAAGACCAGCCTGGGGGCAACATAGCAAGACCCCTGTCTCTACAAAAAAAATCAGCTGGGCATAGTAGTATTAACCTGTAGTTCCAGCTAATTGGGAGACTGAGGCAGGAGGATCACTTGAGTCTGGGAGTTTGAGGCTGCAGTGAGCTATGACTTATGCAACTGCACTCCAGTCTGGGTGACAGCAAGACCCTATCTCTAAGGGGGAAAAAAAAATTTTTTAAGTGAATTAAAGCATCCTTTTGTTCCATTTTTTTCTCCCTGGATAACTTCATCTTATTCAATAATATTAGCTACCATAGACATATGCTGGGAGGAACCAGTTTTAAATTTCTACCCCCAAGCTCTCTTTTAAACTCTAGACCTACATTTCTTTGCTAGACCCTTCCACCTTTAATGGCCCTAACCACCTTGAACTCATTCTGTCCAAAATGAAACTGATTTTCTTCTTCCTCTATAATTCTAAAATCTTTGATGGCATCCAATTCTCATTTTAGAAATCTTTGGGGTTTTTTTTCGTTTATATCATTTATATTAACCATTTTTTCTCCAGTCAACCCAAAATTGTAACAATTCCCCCTTAAAAAATTGTCTTGACTCCNGAAGTGGAAAGAGAAAAGTCTTGGGACAAAGGTCACCTAGAATGAGTGCTTCAACTCAATATTTGATTTATTTTTATTATTTATTATTTTTTTATCTTTCTCTGCTGACAAGAATATGAAGGAAGAGTTTCATCCTTGTTGCCCAGGCTGGAGCACAATGGCGTGATCTTGGCTCACTGCAACCTCCACCTCCCGGGTTCAGGCTATTCTCCTGCCTCAGCCTCCCAAGTAGCTGGGATTACAGGCATCTGCCACCATGCCAGTCTAATTTCTGTATTTTCAGTACAGATGGGGTTTTACCATGTTGGCCAGGCTGGTCTTGAACCCCTGACCTCAGGTGATCCGCCTGCCTCGGCCCCCCAAAGTGCTGAGATACAGGTGTGATGCACCCAGCCCAGCCCATTCTACCTTCTTTTCTTTCAACATTCATAGCCCTATATCGAGGCACTTAAACATCTCTTCCCTGTGCTATTGCTATAGTATCCTAAGTGGTTTCCCTTTCTCTTACACTTCGCCTTCTGGTACATTCTCTCTCCTTACTATGTAAAAAGAAAAAGTGGTTTTCAAACTTTTTAGACTCAAGAGTCCTTTTCATTCTTAAAAAATTATCCAGGGCCTCAAAGAGCCTTTGTCTAAATGTAGATTATGTCCATCAATATTTATCATCTTAGAAATTAAAGCAGGAAATTTTAAAATATTTTTTAATAGCAGTAAATCCATTACATGTTAACATGTTGTAGACTGAAATGTGTCCCCTAAAATTCATATGTTGAAACTCTAACCTCTAATGTAACTGTATTAGGAGCTGGGATTTTTATGAGGTAATCAAGGTTAAATGAGGGGATTCTAATCTGATTGTGTTGGTGGCTTTGTAAGAAGAGGAAGAGGATTGATGCTCTCTGAAAGCCGGAAGATAGCCGTCACCAGAGCCCAACCATTTTGGTACTCTGCTCTTGGACTTCCAGCCTTCAGATTGTAAGAAAATAAATTTCTGTTGTTTAAGCCACTCAGCATATGATATTTTGCTATGGCAACCCTAGCTAACAGATTTTGGTACCAAAAAGTGGGATACCACTGTAATAAACACCTAAATATGTGGAAGCAGCTTTGGTGCTGGGTAAGGTGTTGAAGCTGCAAGAGTTTTGAGGTGCATGCTAGAAATACGGATAACAACAGTTTGGCGAGGTCTCAAGTGGAAATAAGGAATGTGTGGTTGGGAACTGGAGGACAGGCGATCCTTGTATAAACTGGTAAAGAGCTGGCTGTACTGTATTCTAGCATTTTGGGGAAGGTAGAACTTGAGAGCAGTAAAATTGAATATTTAGCTGAGGAGATTTCTAAGCAAAGTGGCACAACTTGGTTTCTTTTGACTGCTTATGATGAAATGTGAAAGGAAAGAGATGAATAGAAGAACTTGTTAAGCAAAAAGGAACCACAATTTGAAGACCTGGAAATTCTCAGCCTATCCATTTTATGAATACTTGAGAAAACTTGTTCTGAACAGAACAGTAGAGGTGTGGTTGAACAACTATTTGATATCATGTGTGTACTTCATAGACTTAGTCATCTTAGTAGAAGCCAGGAATAGAGTTGAGTTTATACCAGCAAACACACTGCCAGTTTGAACTAAAAAGGACAGGGAAGGTGGGGCAGAATGGAGGAAGGGTGTTAGACTTTTTGGATTCTACTGGACCAGACCATAGAGCTACTCAACTGTGAACATGTACTAACTTCAAAGAAAAGGAAGAATGACCAAACCCAGGACTGCCACTCCCAATACAGGCCCAGTGGGCAAGGCTGTTTCCTCCTTGGTTTCAAAGGGGGAGGCTGCCTTTCCAGTTTCTGAGGCCAGGCCACCCTCACAGAGAGCTACATGGGTAGGGCTGTACCACAGAGCCATGGGGGTGACATTGCCACCCCAGTGGACCTGGAGGGCAGAGTATCAAGCCAAAAAGAATTCTCAAGCTTTTTCTCTTTCTTTTCTTCTCTTTCCTTCTTTCGTTTGTTTTGTTTTGTTTTGTGACAGAGTCTTGCTCTGTTGCCCAGGCTGGAGTGCAGTGGCAAGATCTCTGCTCACTACAACCTCTGCCTCCTGAGTTCAAGCGAGTCTTCTGCCTTAGCCTCCCAAGTAGCTGGAATTACAGGTGTGCATCACCATGTCTGGCTAATTTTGTGTTTTTAATAGAGACGGGGTTTCTCCATGTTGGTCAGGCTGGTCTCGAACTCCTGACCTCAGATAGTCCACCAGCCTCGGCCTCCTAAAGTGCTGAGAATTACAGGGGTGAGCCACTGTGCCAAGCCTCTTTTTTTTTAAATAGAGACGAGACAAGGCCTCACTGTGTTGTCCAGGCTTGGGGTCTTGAGCTCCTGGGCTCAAGTGATCCTCCTGCCTCAACCTTCTGAGTAGCTGGGATTACAGGCAGCTTTAAGATCTAATGGAATTTGACTTGCCAGATTTTGGACTTGCTTGGTAACCATTACCCCTTCCTTCCTTTTGATTTTTTCCATTTGAGAATGGAAATGTCTATCCTATGTCTGCCCACCGTTGTACAGTATATCGGAAGAACATAACTTGTCTGGTTCCATAGGTTCACATCTGGAGAGGAATTGAGTCTAAGAATGAATTGTACCTTCAGCCTCACCTTGTCTGATTCAGATATTTATTTTTATTTTTACTTATTTTTTTATTATTATTTTTTGAGACAGAGTCTCGCTTTGTCGCCCAGGCTGGAGTGCAGTGGCACACTCTTGGCTCACTGCAGCCATCGCCTCCTGGGTTCAAGCGATTCTCCTGCCTCAGCCTCCTGAGTAGCTGGAACTACAGGTGCCTGTCACCACACCCGGCTAATTTTTGTATTTTTAGTAGAGATGGGGTTTCACCATGTTGGTCAGGCTGGTGTCAAACTGCTGACCTCTTGATCCGCCTGCCTCAGCCTCCCGAAGCGCTGGAATTATAGGTGTGAGTCACCACTCCCAGCAATTCAGATAATATTCAGATGAAACTTTGGCCTTTAGATTTTAGAATTGATGCCGGAATGAGTTAAGACTTTGGGGGTAGAATTAATGTATTTTTATTTATTTGTGTATTTATGTATTTATTTTTGAGTTGGAGTCTCACTCTGTCACCCAGGCTGGAGTGCAGTGGCACCGTTTCAGCTCACTGCAATCTCCACCTCCCAATTTCAAGCAATTCTTGTGCCTTAGCCTCCCAGGTAGATGGGATTACAAGCATGCACCACTATACCTGTCTAATTTTTTGTGTTTTTATTAGAGACTGGATTTCACTGTGTTGGCTAGGCTGGTCTCAAACTCCTGACCTCAGGGTGATCCGTCCACCTTGGCCTTCCAATGTGCTGGGATTACAGGTGTGAGCCACCGTGCCTGGTGGAATTAACATATTGTATATGAAAGAAAGACATAAATTTTGAGGGGGGACAGGGCCAGAATGCTGTAGACTGAATTGTGTTCCCCAAAATTCATATTTTGAATCCCTAATTCCCCGTATGACTATTGAAAATAGGGCTTCAGAAGGTTATTAAGATAAAATATGAGTGGAAGCCTGATCTGATAGAGAGGAATGCCTTTTAATAAGAAGGAATACCAGAGCTCTCTCTTCCATGTGAGAATACAACAAAAACTCAGCCCCACCAGAACTCACTTGTGCTGGTACCCTGCAGGTACCCTGATCTCAGACTTCTAGTCTCCAGAATTGTGAGAATATAAATTTCTGTTAAGTCACACAGTCAGTGGTATTTTGTTATGGCAGCCTGAACTAATTTTACTTGTGGGAAATATAATTATTTCTCACATTGTGAAACTTGTCTGATTCCATAGGTTCACATTGTGAAAAATAATTATATTTCTCACAACTAGTAAAAGTTCGGTTAATAGAAGACAGCGTATTCTCTGCTGTCTGTTGTGAAATGGTGTTCAATTGAAGTATATGAAGAAAATTTGGTTTTACTCAGATGTGTAATTGGAAAGGGGAGGAGTATTTTAATAGCCTTCTCAGAAAATTTGTGGATATCTTTTTTTGAAACTACACTAAAACTTGCTATGAGTACTTTCTGAAAGTTTAGTTGCAGTGTGGAATGTGAACTTTGAACGCTCTGTTACGTGAAAACCTATTGGTATATCTTACATTTTGAATGGATCTCTTATGTATAATTTTATAATATACATTGGTTGTTTGGAAAAGTACTTGTTCACTGAGTTATGCATATCATAAATGTTGAACAATTTTATTGCATAAAACGAAAAAATCATTTGTTAATATCATCATCATTCTCACAGAAAAGTCTTTATTGTAAAATTTGCCAGGCTCACAGTAGCTGACACAAATTTTAAAAAATTTTAATATGTACTTGAAAGCTAAAATTTTATCACTAGCAGCAAATGCTTTCATTTTCTTTCTTGATTTTGACAGACTCAGTGCATTTTTAAGAAAATATCTGCCAGGTACCCATCTAAATAACTGTAAGTTTGTGTGTGGCTCTTTCAAGTAAAAGTGATGTTCCCTGACAAAAAGGGCCAGTTCTGCTCACAAACAATTTGTTTACTAGAGAAAACCATCATACCTGCTATAATGTTTAAAAGAAATTTGCTGGCCAGGTGCAGTGGCTCATGCCTGTAATCCCAGCACTTTGGGAGGTTTAGGCGGGCAGATTGTCTGAGCTCAAGAGTTTGTGACCAGTCTGGGCAACACGGTGAAACCCCATCTCTACTGAAATACAAAAAATTAGGCGAGCATAGCAGCCTGCGCCTATAGTCCCAGCTACTCGGGAGGCTGAGGCAGGAGAATTGCTTGAACCCAGGAGGCGGAGGTTGCAGTGAGCCAAGATTGTGCCACTGCAATCCAGCCTGGGCAACAGGGTGAGACTCCATCTCAAAAAAAAAAAAAAAAAAAAAAAAAGGAAGAAATTTGTCTTATTTTTACTGCAAGGTTGTGGAAGTGAAGAATCCAATGACTGCTAGTACAGTTTGGTGTCATTGTCTTGACTCATGCTAATGTGCTAGCAGTTTTACCCATCATTGACATTTCATCACCAGTTCAATTTTGCAGGACAAGTAAGACAAGTGAGGTAGGTGCCTAGGGTACCAAATTTAATGACACCCTTACTCTCAGGGTCATGCAACCGACTTCAAGTGAGCACATTTAAAAAGGCAAATAATGTCTTAGAATTTATTTTGAAGAGTTGTTACTTTGCATTCCATGAATCATACTTTGACAACTGCTGATCTAAACAAAGGTCTGATATTTATTTTTCTGCTTATGTACCTTTGATGACCAAGGGTAATACCTAAACTCTTTACTGTAGTACATACACTCCTTCATCAATTTCTTCCAGTCTATTTTCTTTTGTTTTCTCCTTTTTTTTGAGATGGAGTTTCGCTCTTGTCGCCCAGACTGGAGTGCAATGGCGCCATCTCAGCCCACTGCAACCTCTGCCTCACGGGTTTAAACGATTCTCCTGTCTCAGCCTCCTGACTAGCTGAGATTACAGGCACACCATGCCCAGCTAATTTTGTATTTTTAGTAGAGATGGAGTTTCACCGTGTTGGCCAGGCTGCTCTTGAACTAACCTCAGGTTATCTGCCCACCTCGACCTCCCAAAGTGCTGGGGTTACAGATGTGAGCCACTATGCCCAGACTCTTCCAGTCTATTTTCTAACCCCATTTACAGTTCTCCCTCCCATTCCTTACCCTGTACTCTAGCCTAACCATACTGTCTGGTTTTATGATACTTCCTCTGCTTTGGATGTTCTTCATTTTGCAACCTTATTCTCATTTTTTATAGTGATTCAACGTCAGTTCAAATGTCACCTCCTTTCTAAAGCCTTCCGTGATTTCCCCAGAACAAATTTAATCACTTCTTTTTCTTTTTTTTCTCTTAGAACAAAATGTATTTGTACTATGGCACTTGTCACACAGTTCAGGCTATTTACATGACTACTCTCATACTATATTTAATTCAATTAAGCAAGTCAGTTCCAGATGCTGTGCTTGGTTCCAGGAATATATAAATAAGCAAAGTTTTAAGACTTCATATTTTAAAGGGGAAACAAAACCAAGCAGATAATCACATTGTAATATGGTAAGTGCTATAATTGAATTATGAACCAAATGCTGTGGAGACAGAAGGAAACGACTAGATTTATGATTTAATTCTGTTTCTTGAGAGCATATTTTATTCGTCTTTGTACTGTCTGTGGCTAGCCCTGTGCTTAGCCTACAGTGGGTAGACAACAGATATTGGTTAAATGAAGATTTTAAAGTATCTGTTTTTCTTCTTTTTCCCCCTTGTTTTTCAGAATGTAAGGTGTGGAGAAACCCTCTAAATCTTTTCAGAGGAGCAGAATACAGGAGGTATTACATTTTGCTTTCAGTATAGCTAGGGTATTGGTTTTAGAGTAAAGGTATTTACAAAAAACATTTGTCTTTATAAATAAATCACAGCTCTTCTAGTAGGAGATACTGATCTATAATAATGTAAAATGAGGCCGGGTGCGGTGGCTCATGCCTGTAATCCCAGCACTTTGGGAGGCCGAGGTGGGTGGATCACGAGGTCAAGAGATCGAGACCATC